CAATTATGGAACTATAAAAGGAGCAAAAGTAGGTGGATTTAATCCAGTCTACTTCCTTTACGAGCATCAAGCTCAGGCCTTCTATAGCCTCCTCCCAATATGTCCATCAGCTTCATTTCCCACAGTTCTCTGCTCCCACCTGTCTATTCCCCAGCTCTGAGCTCACCCTTCCCTCCCCCAGGCCTCTTTCTACCTCCCTCGCATCCTCACCATCTGAATCATTTCTGCTGTCTGTATCCAACACACTTATCTAGGATTGGCTCTTCCTCCAAGAATACATCACAGATGATCCCAGCTCCCAGGGTCTCAGTCCCTAAACTTACAAATCTGATGTGGCTACCATTTGGCAAATGAATCTACACTGCCTTATTATAGGGGCCATACTTTCATTTAGTATTTAGTGTGCTTAGGTTTCATCTGCCTAATGGAAAGGGTCTTGGAGAGAGGATTGGATGAAGGATCCTGCCTTCCATGCAATACCACAAAAGGCCAGCACTTTGTATACATGCCCTGATGTTGAATCTTAATTGCAACATAATAATGAACTATGAGGTCAAGAAAGTCAGTCTCTCAAGGGCAATGGCCCAGTTCACTTGCTCTTAAAGCTCCAACACAAAGTCTGCATATTCAGCAAAATAAAATGAATGAAGGAGAATTGGGAAGAGCCTAAATCCACAAAAGGCCAAGGGGAGAGGCGAGAGGAAGGGGAGGACTCAGAGATGGGGAGGAAAGAAAGCACCAAACCAAGGCAAGAATCACAGTTGGCCAGCAGGGGGTGGGGGTGGGGGAGAGGGGTGGTCTGCATATTCTGGAGGGAAGAAGGGAGAAAGGCAGGGGAAGATGAAAATGAACCGGGGAAAGAGTCAAGGTGAAGGAGGTCCGGTAGAAAGTGAGAACAAGTAATCTGTTACTGACTTTTGTGTGTGTGGGGGCTGAGTGGGTTTCCGAGAAAGCAGTCTTCAAAGCACAGCTATTTCACAGCAAACAAACCTCATTCCATCACATTCACATTGTTAACTTTGATGAGACAGGAAAGGACAAAAACTTAAGAGCATTTCAGGATTCTGCCTGGATTTAAAAAACAAAAATAGGGCATATAACCTTAAAAAGGAAAAGCCTGATAGATGAGAAATTGTTTATAAAGAGCACAACGGGGAAATACGGAGGTCTTTCAGAAGGATAGAGAAATTAGATAAAAACAAAAGAAGCAAGGAGGAAATGATGAAAGGAGAGTGTGGCAGACATCATAAAGGAAGAATATAAGGTGGTTAAACTCAGCTGATACAAACAGATATGGGCTTAAAATAACACAACGCCATCAGTCCAATCCACTGTGAAGATAAAAGTGACCTGAGAACTCTGTCCTTGAAAAGAGTGGTGGCTTTAAAAGATACCACAGGAGCACTTACCACAAATTCAAAATCACTCTAGAGTGCAGTGCTCTAGAGTTACACCAGAGGTCACCTGGGCCACTTCCTGAAATTCCAGGAACCTTCTGCTGTCACATTCTAGGTGGCCTTTAAGATGGCTCCCTCTTCTTCTCTCATAGTCAAGAGGCTTGATTTGCATTATAGCCGAATCTCTTGGCTGTGAATCGAATCCCTCCTGAATACTCAAGTGTGGTCTGTGGAGCAGCAGCAGGGTGGTACCTAGGGGTTGGCTGAACTTCAGCCTCTCGGGTTCTGTTCCACACCCTGGAATCAGCATGTGTTAGCAAGATTCTGCAGGGAATACATGTGTGCATATGCCCTCACCCATCCTGTAACATTGGTGAGCCATCTGAAGTTCAGATCTCCTCTGGGCCTACAGTTTAACTAAACAGGGGCCCTGAGCATATGTCCCTGGAGGTAGCCTTCTACTACCAAAAGTCATTTAATGACTGGTTCCTCAAATTCAGATCACCATTGCTCCCCACTTGGACACCCCTGCTACTCCATCTCATACTTCAGACTTACTCTGTGAGTATGATGGTCCAGGGCTACTCATCACCTGCTCACCTTCATGGGTTTCTTTTAATTTTTCTGTGTAAACCTTGTTTATTCTTATTCAGTTGGGAGCTGCTAGAACTGTGCTGTCCAAAATAGCAGCCATCAGTCACATGTGCTTACTGAGCACTCAAAATACAGCTAGTCTGATTTCAGATATGCTCTAAGATACTAAAGAATATAAGGTAGTTCAGTAATAATTTTTGTATTGGTTATACACTGAAGTGGTAAAAGTTTGTATATGTTGGGTTAAATAAAATAGTTTATTAAAATTAATTTCACCGGATGAAAAAATGTAGCCATATAATGTATACACACACACATACACACGATCACACATATGGCCCACTTTATGTTGCTACTGGACATTGACACAAGAGAACAGGCCTGTGGCCCCAGCACTAGAGAAGAAGCTCCCAAAGGACAAGCCACTTCCTTGCTCTGCTCTGAGCCTCGGTGGCCTGGAGGTGGCAGGGGCCAGATCTGGCTTCTGAGAGCCCTTCCAGGGCGTGGACCATGGCTGTTTGCCTCTGTGTGAGGCCTTGTGTAACTACATGGTCCTGTTACTCAGTGTCTGTTCTCATGGAGGACACTGTGTGCTCCTTAGTGCTCACTGCCAAACTGGAAGTCAGGAGAGAAGGCTTTCTTTTTTACAGACTTCCCTCTGTAAGTAGTTCTAAGGATGCTAATAACCCCAGCTCAGATCATCACCAGACATCACTTCCTGTTTGTCAGTGGCTATACTGATCCTTACACCACCTTGTGTAAAGCCCTCCAACTTACAGGAAAAGAAAGCTGACTCAGAAAAGGTTTATTTCCTGATAGAAATCAATAGCATTAAAACAACCAAGGCCATTTGGCTTTCTTCCTATTGCACAACACTGCCTCCTAAAGGGTTAAAAAGGATCCACATATAAATTATGCTCTTAATTCCAGGACCTTTGTTCTGTCCAGGGAAGTGGTAGTAGGTAAAGCACAGCACAGACAGTTGCAGGGGAGTCAGGTGGGCTTCTAGATTCCCTTTGTGAAGGTCCGTGCGGGCTTGTCAGGGCTGACAACTTCTCCATGGCAGGGCATGATGAACAGATCCTTCCAGGACCCAAACACCTCAGCTCAAGCAGGCTTCTGATGCCAGCTGGAGGCAGAATCCACACAGGCTCCCTTTCCTGACTTAAAAGCATAACACATCTTAAATACCTGGGCCCATCTTGCCCAATTAAAACAAAGAGGTGGGATGGAGTCTAGAATGGGCCTTGTCTTGCTCTTTTGTAGTTGTCCCACCTCTTTTTACTCCTGTCATGCCCTGAAAATGTTCCCACTTGGTTGTTTCATCAGATCCAGTTTCTTGAACAATAGGAATTTAGAAGGCTTCCAAGTTATCTCAGTTTTATGTAATTCTTCTGCACTCCCAACATACCTGCCCCCCCGCCCCCCGTCTTCTTTAATATGGAACATAGGAAAAAAGGGCTAACCACACTGCAGAGAGCTTGGGAGTCAAACCTATTGTTCTGCAGAACAAGGTCCAGAGGTTTCAAGTCACATATCTGATTTGCAAAAATTGGGATCAGGACTTTGGACGGTGACTCATAACTCAGCACTCTCTCCTTTCTGGGCTCCAAACAGGAAATTTAAAAAGAGATAGGGTAATTTTTGCTCCTGGGACTTAACTCAAAGTTTGAACTTTGAAATCAGATAGTATAGGGGACAGTGTAACACCAGCATGGTTTTTGACAAGTTCGTCCTGAGACTGACCGGGAGCCACTTTCTGTCTGGAATGCCCCAGCCACAGGCACTTGAAGGTCATTAAAATGAACGAATCACTTAGTTAAGGAATTAAAGCGAAGCATCCAAAGTATAAGCACTGCTCTGTGGGACAGCCTGTGTGTCCTGCCATGTTGTGGGTAAACAGGGGAAAGAGGGCAAGAAAGAAGTGGCCACTGGCCCTGGTGTGCCGTCCCTTCTAGGACCTTCTAAGGCTACCTTAACCCTCCACTTTTATTGCTTGCAGAGGGTATCTCCTGAAGTGAGGTTAGGAGGATAGTCTTCTGAAAAAAGACTGTATAGTTTATAACCTCCCAGAAAGGCCTTGGAAGGGTCTAGGGAAACTTGTCTTACTTCTGAGGGCTGGCAGACCCCTGTCCTTCTAGACATCAAACCCTTGAGCATCATCAGTCAGTGGCCTGATCTGGGATGTTCTTCCCAGTGGGGCAGCTTCAGCCTGCTAGGACTATACCAGTGGCAAAATCCCAGTATTATTTATAGCCAAATGTTTCTCCTAGATGCTTTTAAGTTAGGATTTAAGTACAGAAGAAGAAAAAAGACAAAATAACTCATCATTATAGTATCAATACACAGTATATTTTTCTGAGTTACACAATAGTTTTATAATGGGCATGCATTACTTCATGATGCTTCTAATGATGATAAATTATTTCCATTCATCCCCAAATTAATGAGTATTGACAGTATTGACCTGTACAGGGAATGTTCCAGAAAGCAGAGAAATAGCAATAGATAAAATGAAACCCCTGTGTCCCAGAGCAGTGTGGTGGGTATTGAGAGTGAGAAGCCTAGAAGAAAAGCCAGGAGGGAGCTGTCAGGAAGGGGAGTTGAGGCTGGTGATCAGAAAGAAGTTCTCTAAGTACAAGACATTTGAGCAGAGGCCTGGAGGACATAGTACAAGTCAGGTGAGGTACTAGAGAAAGAGCTCTTTGGGTAGGAGACACAGGGTGAACTCCTGAGGTCTTGCCAAGGGAGAGCAAGGCATGACCATAGTGAGGTGAGCAGGTGAGGAGATGAGAGATGGGTCTGTGCTAGGTTCGGTAGGCCTTCACAAGGTCACCATAAGGGCCTGGTTTTAGTCACGGGAAGGCTGAAGCATGAGCCTGGACAGTCCTGGGTCCAAAGCTGGGGTGTGCTTTCTCTTTTAGGCCTCTGAGGGGGTTGAAGCAGCAGCAGCAGCAGACTCTAGGGAACTGGCAGTTCAGTTCCCAACAGACGCCTCCTGGTACTCACCTTCCACGGTCAGCTCCACTGTTACCTGGCGTGTACCACTGCCACTGCTGACTTCACAGGTATACTTTCCTTTGTCCTCCTCACGGACAGTGTGAATTATAAGGCTGAAAGTCCCCCGCACTCCACAATCCAGCAAGAAGCGGCCCCCATTAGTGATGGTCTGCCCTTTCCTGTGCCATGTCACCTGGGGTTCAGGGTAGCCCCGGACCTACAAGAAAAGAAAGAGTAAGTGCTATTTCATGAGCACTCACGGTGGCCATATCGTTCAAAGTACACAGCTGCTATACAATGCATGTACACACACACACACACACACACACACACACAGAATATAATCTCAATCATTTGAGCAGGCTCGTACACACCTGTAATTGCAGCACTTGGTAGGTAGAGGCAGGAAGATGAGGAGTTCAAGATGATTCTCAGTTACATAAAAGTTCAAGGCCAGCTTGGGTTATGTGAGACCCTGTATGAACTCCTTCCCCCAGATCTCCAGAACTGAAACATTGATTATAAGCTGGAAAAGTTGTCTTTTTTGCTATTTTGGGCTAACTAAGTCACTGAGAGGAATTACACCCCATTTTCCTTACAGTTTCCTGTGGCTACTAGAAAAGACGATGCCTCGTGCACGCCTTCCACGGCATTTCCCGGGAAGCTCCGCACTCGTGCTCTGCCTCTCTAACAACAGTCTCTGTGAGTGCTAAGTGTTCAGTACTGTTAAAAGTACTTGACTCATTCAAGACTTAGAGCAACTTATTCAGATAGACCAGCTTTCAAAAGAGGGGGAAATGTGCAGGCAAATTCCAACCTAAGAATCCCCTTTGAGGGGCTGGAGAGATGCTCAGCAGTTAACTGCATGGCCTGCTCTTGCAGAGGAGCAGAGTTTTATTTCCAGCAACCATGTTGGGTGGCTTACAACCACCTGTTACTCCAGCTCCAGGGGATTTGATTTGATGCCCTCCTCTGGATTCCAAGCACCTGTACTGACATATGTACAGACCCCCACACAGACAAACACAAATACACATAATTAAATATGAAAGAATTCCCTTTGAGTTTCAGATAAGAAAGTTCCCCAAGTGTCTTTGAACACCTGAAACTCAAGAGAACCGTAAGAATGGACCTATTGTCAGAGGACCAGGTCTCAGTCCAGCTCACCCTTGTTCAGTGAGGACCCAGAATTTGGCAACTTCAGCACTGAAAAAGATACAGAAGACAGCATAGATGCCTCCTGAGAAGAGAATTGTTTGAGCTACAAAGTATTACAGCAATAGCTTAATATTTATCATGCCTCTACTCGAAGGCAAAAGAGACTGGTTCAGGTGAAGCAGTCTGCAGCACGACCCCACACACTGGGGTCTGGCCCTCCCTGCAAGTTCAGAGTGCTGTTATGTGGGCATGCAGAGTAACATGCATGTGCTCCTGCGGATCCACATACAGGTCCTTCCCTAAGTATTCTAAGAGGGAAAAGCACTGTGTTAGCAACAGGAGCTGCCTTTTGCCTTTTGTGGTGCTGGAGATTGAAGCCAGGGCCTTGCATGAGTACCACCCAGCCTCAGAGTTATCTTGTACAGTTAAGTCTCCTCCTCAATCCTTCTGCTCCCACCACCTCAGTAGCTATAAGCATTCAGATTTTTTTCCCAAGCAAGGAAATCTTGAATCCCAGGTTTTTTAAAAACAAAAAACAAAACACAAACACTACTACCACCACTACCACTACCACTACTACTACTACCACCATCACCACCATCACCACCATCACCACTACCACCACCACCACCACCACCACCACCACCACCACCACCCTACTACCATCACTACAACCACCACCACCAGCACCAGCACCACTACCACCACTACTACCACCACCAACAGCAAAGCAATAAAAAGCAATTCAACAGTCCCCCTTTGGTTAAACTCGCAAACCTGCCTTTCCATTCTCACGAATGTATACTTAGGCTTCAATGGAAAAGAAAAAATAAAACTGCAAATCAATATTATTCATCTTATATGTGATTTCTACAAACAGAAAAATCTCCTTTCTATAAGAATCTAACTGCTCGTGACAGAAATGGATCACCTGTGAGGATATGTCTCAGTGCTGAAGTTAAGTCTCCCCCCAAAAATGTTACCCAGGCTCAAGGCCATGGTGGGCTCACCAGAGCAAGGGTTTCTGACCTTAGGTTGAAAAGGGTAAAGGTAACCATATCCACCTGAGTATATGAGGCCTCATAGTTACAACACAAAACCAGGGGGGGCAGCAGGTGTCTCTGGGTAAGACGTGGGACTCTCCCCCCGCCACCCTTTTAGTTAATGCTCTCATTCCTGCTGTTTCCGGAAAAGAAAAAAAAACTCACTTGGCCTTTGTAAAATAGAAAAAAGTACAAAATGTGTACCTTTCCATTAATCTGTTGTTAATGAATGTAGAGCCACTCACTAATTTTTTGATATAAAAGACCTCCACAAATAAGCATTTTGTGTGTTTGAAGGTGGCCCACATCATGCTCCCATACCAACCTTCATCATCTTGTAGATTTAATCTTGTTACAAAGGCTCATACAAAGGAGCATCAGACATCAACTGCCCTGTTAAAACATTCTTCTTCCTGCTTTTTAGAAAAAAAGCAAGGAAACCCCTGGGAGGCTGGTCACGTGTGAATTTCAAACCCTGTTTATCTTCTGCACCCTGTTAGGCAAGGCTAGCCCATCTTCCTGAAGATAATCCCAGCCTCCCATCAGCTTCAGAGAAAAGGGGCCCAGCCCTGCAACCAGGAGAAGATAAATCATTAATGGCACCCAGGGTGCCCCAGCATTCCAGAAGCAAGCTGGCCCCCTGCAGCAGGCCGATCCAAGGCATCAATGATTAACTGGGAAGGTCCAAGTATTCCAGACCTCAGGGACATGATCCTTTGGTGTTTTTCCTTCTTTCCTTCTCATTGTCTACGCATATCCCAAAGTTACCTCTGAAATGCCTTATTAGAATAAATATTTCAATATTTTTAAAGATACTGAAACTGACATCACTTAAGAAAGTCACAGTTTGCAAAAGATACTTTTATAGCTCTTGGATGCAAAGAAAAGGAAGGGCTGTATGATCTTGCTCAGTTGCAAGGTCTGAATGATTTGTGATGTCAATACTTGTCTTCCCACTATGAAAAAAGTTTGTTCAAGCACTCCATAACATTACCTAAAAATTGTTCAGGCTAAAGGCATCCCTTTTCACTACGGTCTGCCCCCTGTGCTGGGGCCCCAATAGGGATGATGGAAAGTCTTCACTCACATTCTTGGGATGCACGAAGGGCATCTTCTTTGATTAAGAAGTCACATCTGGTATTTTTGAAATCAGGATCTTTGAGAGCACAGTCAAAACCCACAGATATTAGTTTGCAGAGGACCTTCACATACGGAATCTCACTTGACTCTCACAACATTATGAGGGAGGGAGGGAGGGATCTTGGGTTGGATACTGTTGTAGTATGCCTTCCTCTGAGCATTACTGGGCAACATCTTCATGGAAACAGCTATGATTGCTATCTAGAGACCACTGAGGCTATTGATTGTTGATGTTCACTAATAGGAGAGGTGGGGAGGGTCATTGAACCCTCACCTGAGATTACTGCCACTCCTTACTGAACCTCCCTGCTGTTGGTATGTAATTCTGCCCTAATGCATAAGGCCTTGTGGTCTTGGGTGGTACTGGAGTATAAAGGCTGTGGAAAGTTAAATGAAGTGGGGACTCCTATGCAGCTATGGGGAAGTTGTCATCCATGATGAAGTGACTTTCCAGTGGTGTGGCTGTTTTGGGGTCCCTCATACTCACCCATGTAAGTAAGCCCCATAAACCAATGAGTTCATTGATTCTCCAAGTTGGACTCTGGTGGAATTTTACTTTGGCTTTTGCTTGGTATTCTATAAGGAGAGGGTAGATCTTTGTTTAGGTTTCCCCAGGGAAAGAATTCCTACAATAGCTACCCTAAAGCAGGGCCTGTTTGTGAACACTTATCACCCCAGAAGAGATGGGAACAGACCTAGACTTTGATGGATACCCATGATGCCAATTGTAATGTCAGAGGGGAGTGGACAGTTAGCCAGTCATCTTCCATTGCAGATAGGGTGGCACGTCTAGAACCACAGTTTTGGTCTCCAATTTCAGAGGTTGCCTCCAGACCTCATTGACCTCATTATAAATTCCTGGATTTGGTGAGATACGTTTTATAGAACCCAAAGAGGCAATGAATGTCTATTTCTAACAGCCACTCTTAGATGTTAAAGCAATATCTCCTTTCCACTTTTGGGAAACTCCAAAGGGTTCACAAAAGATCTGGTCATGCTATAAGCAAGTCATGGGTTGTCCCCTCATATTCAGAGTAGGACAAAATCGGGGCTCATGACATCTGAAGAGAGTAAGGGTGGAACAAAGGAGACTGTGAGGCAGGCCTCAGTGCCTGGGCCTGGCCAGGCTTCCTGGCCTGTCTGGACTACGATTCCTCTGTCACTGAAGAGAAAATTGCACTTGGTATCTAGGGTTCCTTCTGTCTTGCAGTATGGTTTTAAGTGGTGACCCACTTAGTTCTTGAGGGAGGTTCTTTCCTCTATCTTCATTTTCTTCTGGGCCTAACCCACATCCTTGCTGTCCTCTAATCCTCTATATGGGAAAAGCAAGTGACCACAGGAGGAATGTTCACGAATATAAAGGGGCAGCCCTCACTTTTCACCATAATGAGTTTTTGGAACTGGTCCCAAAGAGGGTCATTCTGAAGAGAATCATATTTTTGCCACCGTAACCACATTTAATTGGAGGTTGTGTTCTTGAACAGAAGCCCAGTATCAAATAAATCAGGGGTATAACCAACAACTTGTCATGAAAATAAAATTATAGTAGCCATAATCCTATAATAATTTTAAATAGTAAGACTGTGCTCCAGCTTAATAAAATGTCCTAAAAAACCTTTATGGCCTCAGAAGGCCTTTGAGGAGAAGGAGGGCTCCTGAGAGTGTGGATGGTCAAGGAGAAAGCAATGCTGCTGGCAGCCAGTGTCTCCCTGATCTGACTCACTTTTCAGAACCTAGTGCAATCTTGGGATTCATTCAGTGACTAAAGGAGACCATTCTCCCAGGCACCAGGCTTTTGGGTTTCCTCTGACATGTTGAGAATACTCAACCCATTCTTCATTTCTCAGGGTAGGCCTCCCAAGCTTGACCCCAGAGC